ACTACTACTACTACTACTGCTACTACTGCTACTACTACTACTACTACTACTACCTCTACCTCTACTACGACAACGACTACTACTACTACTACTACTACTCGTACTACTCCTCCTCCTACTACTACTACTACTATTACTACTACTACTACTACTACTACTAACTACTACTACTACTACTACTACTACACTACTACTACTACTACTATACTACTACTACTACTACTACTACTACTACACGACGACGACGACGACGACGAACGACGACGACGACGACGACGACGACGACTAACTACTACTAACGACGACTACACTACTACTACTACTACTACTAACTACTACTACTACTACTACTACTACTACTACTACTACGACTACTACTACGACTACTACGACTACGACGACGACGACGACGACGACGACGACGACGACGACGACGACGACGACGACGACGACGACGACGACGACGACGACGACGACTACTACTACTACTACTACTACTACTACTACTACGACTACTACTAACTACCACGACTACTACTACCTCCTCGTCCTCCTCCCCTTCTTCCTCTCCCTCCTTCCTCTCCCGTCTGGCCTCCCTTCTCTTGCTCATGCTCATGATTCAGCTCCTCACTGTTCTCCTACTCCCTCCTCATCTTCTTCCTCCCCTCCCGTCCTTTTCCATCCCCTGTCCTCTCCTCTTTCCTCTCTTATCCTCTCCTCTCCTCTCCTCTCCTCTCCTCGCCTCTCCTCTCCTCCCGCCTCCCCCCCATCAAAAGCAAAAGCATCGCATCTCGTCCTCCTTGTCCTCCCCCGCCCCTCCTTCGCCCCCGCAGATGTGACCGCACCCCCCGCCGCCCGCGGGCAGGACGCGGGCGCTCAAGTCGGCGCTGCGGCGCCGGAGGACGTCGAAAGGCACGAGGCCCCGAGGGCCGTCGAGCGACGCCCTGCCTGCCCTTCTGGTGAAGGGGAGGAGAGAGGAAGGGCACAGGAGGGATGGAGAGGAGAGAAGGAAGAGGAGGAGGAGGAGGGAGGAGGAGGAGGAGGAGGTGGAGGAGGAGGAGGAGGAGGTGGTGGAACAGGAAGAACAGGGGGAGGACGGAGGGAGTAGGAGGACGGAGAGGAGGAGGAGGAGGAGGAGGCGGAGGAGGAAAAAGAAGAAAAAACATAAGAAGAAGAGAAGGAGGATGAGGAGGAAGAGAAGGAGGAGGAGGAGGAGGAGCGATAAGGAGGAGTATGAGGAGGAGGAGGAGGAGGTGGAACGAACGCCGTAGGGCAAGTAACAGTTCACAGGAGGAGGAAGGGGGAGACGCCAAATTGACGCGAGTGATGAGGGATAGCAGTCTCGGGGGCGCGAGCGCGCGAATGCAAAAGGAATGTGCCACGGATTGTGTCCTCGGGAGCGCGAGCGTAGAGTAATTTACCATGGGGTGTGACCTCGAGAGCGCGACCCCCTTGGAATGTACAAAGGATTGCGGCTTCTAGGGCTCAGTGCGCCGCAATTCACGCGGGAGCATGGCCTCGGGAGCGCCAGCTTGCTGCAATTTCCCTGGGGAGGGGCCTCGGGGACGCTACATTGATGCAAGCGGTAAGGGATTGCAGTCTCGTGGGCGGGAGCGCGTTGTTCTCTACAAGGGGTTATGGTTTCGGAAGCGCGAGTGTCACGTAGTTCGCTCGATATTGTGGCCTCGGGAGCGCGAGCGCGTTGTCATGTACAAAGGGTCACCGTCTCCGGGAGCAGGAGGTCGTTCTCATTAGTTATGGATGACGATTTCCGGAGCGCGCGTGCGTTGTAATTCCGACGAGATGGTGACCACGTGGGCGCGAGATTGTCGTAATTTACATTGGGCTTATGGCCCCAGGAGCGTGCGCACGTTGCAACCTACTTGGGCTTATGGCCTCGCGAGCACGAGTGCGTTGAAATGTTGCTAGGGGTTGCGGCTTCGGGGGCGTGAGCGCGACGGAAGGTATTTAGAATCGCGGCTTCGGAAGTACGGTCTCGACGCAATGCACACGAAGGATTGCTTCCTCGGGCCGTTGGCTCAAGATCTTGCCTGGGGTTTTCGCCTTGGTGACGGGCAATCCCTGGTGCGAGCACACGCCGTCGACGAAGTTTTGGCGCAATGCGCGCCATTCGCAAAGGGTAGAGCAAGTGTCGCGCTTCGACCGCCAATGTGCGCCAAACGCTGTGCAGAATACATCTTCCCATTCGGTGTGATAGCCCATACCATGGTGAACAAAACCTGCAGCCCTTCGCTCATTCCAGATATCTTCGATTGACTCCCAAACTTGGCGGTCCCGGTACGCCTGGGAGAGACCGAGCCTATTAATGGAGCCAGAAGAACAAGAGCATTTCTCTCTCCAAGCGTGCTCGAAGACCTCGCGCAAGATCCTGTTGTGAAGCTGAACGCGGCCATGCTTCCCGAACCAAGTCTTGATAGAGATGGCTCTCTCGAGTTGTACTGCTTATGAGTCTCCCCAGGCCTCCGCTTCAGTTTGAAAGCGCGGCGAAGCAGACGAAGCTCCCACTGAAGAGCACGAACAAGTAGATGTGTGCATATGTGCCAAGTCCCGCTGCCAAGAAGAAAGGAACTCACCGGCGCCGAGGACCACATATTGAGTTTAGCTGACATGGTAGCACTGCCTGCCGAGAGAAGTTTATAATGATTCCAGAATCAAGCTTCGCCTGTTCTGAAACCTGTGCTCGACGCTGACGAACGTGTCACCCTTGCAATGGAAAAGCGTGCCTAGGACAAGAAATCCTGATGCATATGCGAGCACTGTGCTAGATACTACAACTGTGTACTGGAGCTCCTCCTTGCTTGCCAGGGTCTCACTCAACATGAAGTGTTATGGAGCACTCTTCCACTGAAAGCGGCAGTATGAATCGCGTTGGTACGTCCGTCGCCATCGCCACAATGTGTTCCCGTAAGCTAGCGAACTGAAAAAGAGAACCCGCCCAAAGCAAATGTGTGAGTATTTGTTTCTGCGTAACGTAGTTGCCGCCACTTGAATACGACAGGTGCCGACAGGAATTCTACCATGCGGTTGAATTCATCTGGAATTTCCACTCCTCCCTGCTTCTCCCCGCGCTCGAGAGGGAACTCGTCAGAATGTCCGGCTCCAGGTAGCTCGATTCGGCATTGTTTACCCGATATTTAGAACATCAAGGCGTGGACCAATTCAGGATGAAGGCCGCGGCCAAGTAGGGCATCTCTCAAACAAGAGTGGACCATGGCGTCGAAAGTGGTTGCAATATCAGCGCTACCCAAAACAAACAAGCGGTAAGCCCCAACGGTATGCAATGAAGAGTGTCTGACGAATGATCGCTACGATGTCGTCGCACCTGTACCCAGGACGGAATCCCAGGGTCTCCACGACAGTCCCAGCAACATGTCGGCGCAAAGGTAATTTCAGGCATCTCGTAGACCACTTGAAACAACAATCTCACTTCCCAATCCACCTGAAAGAACCCAAGGTTGAAGTCTTCGACTCCTTCGGAAGGCCATGGAAATCCACGCTGACTCCATGATACCTCTTGCAGAAATGATTCCAAAAATCATATAACATGATGTACGGCAACCCCTTGTACACCTCGGGCGGCCCCCCGTCACAACCCGAGGACGTACAATTCTTCAAGCCAGCCAGGCCGAGGAGTTCCGAAAACGGGGTAAGTTCAGGAGCGAAGATGGCGTCCAATCGGTGTCCACGAGCTGCGCCGGCCAAACAATTCAAACGATGAAGCTGCGTAGCATGCAAACTCGCGTCATCTCCAAAACGCTTCCGTTCAAATTTCCATGCTTCACGGCGCCACTCGTCACGGTCAGCAGACGCTACACCGTCGATTTGTAAAATATGGTGCAAACTTTTGCCACCGATTCCAGAACATAGATGTACGATCTTGCTTTCATGCTTCGTTCGTGTCGCCACGCGTTTCGCCTTCCGCGGACTCAGGATTCGAGCACGCCTCTCCACTGGATCAGAGGCTGGCGCGCGCGCCACGCTCGACCTGGCCTCGTTGGGAGGCCGATTTCGGGTCAAGCGCTCCATCCGACTGCGGCTGCCGCGAGTAGCACAATGTTTCAAGCCAGACTGTAAAGAAACGAGGTCAGAATACTGGTATTGAAGAGCAAGTTTCTTGAACTTCTCGGACTCCTGCTCGTCCCGAGGTCGCCATCCCAGCAGAGAGCGTTGACGATCAGGTGGGCCAGAGACTGTAGCTAGCTGGTGTTCGACTTTCGCCAAAAACCAAGCAGTGGTCGGAACGAGTAAACAAACGATGATCCACAGTGCACGCCCGAGCGCTGCCAGAAATAGCAACAGACACAGCCAAGAAGTCCATTTGCGCCTATGTGTACGTCCGGCGTTTCACCATTCTCGTCCATAAGCTCTTCTCGAACAAGTCGGCCGCTGTTAGTAGAAAACGTGTTTAGAGCGCGCATCCCTAAGGCCTCCTACCAAGAAGATACCGCACGAACTTTGGGAGGTGTGTGGCTTGAAAGCGGCGGCATAACAGATGAACCAGACAACCCACTTACGTTTCCAGGCAAAGTTACGTTCGCATCGATCCCAAGCACAAGCTCGAAGTCAACAGAAGAAGAGGTGAAGCGCATATTGTGCACGTAATTGACGGTGTCCTGGAAGATTATCGGCACGGCCACCTTCTTCGAGGTGGTCCAGAACATGCGCCGACAGGAAAACGCAACTCCCCAGTACCGCCCCACACCAATAATTACTCGCCAAATGAAATGTCTCTTACGGCCGGCACCCAACGTCTAGGAATAACTAGGCCACAATCACAATCCTCAGCGATAACGGTATGGCCAGAGCACGTGAGGTGGGTAATTTTCTCCACGCGAGCATCTCTTGGAATAGTCCCACGAACTCACCAAGCTCTCCCCGAAGACGCCGAAGAATGCGAGGAGCGGCATGCTGACTCTTCTTGCACGTATTCCAAGAGACCGTTTGAATTCAGTTTCCCCCAAAATTTGGCCGAAGCCAGCTCACTGCCGGAAGGCAGCGAACTCACCTCGAGCGATTGGGCCGTGGTGCCGATGGCGGATGCCCCCGCGGCCATCCACTCGATAGTCGCGTTCGTGTTGACCTTCGCAACCAAGGCTTCGCCCTGAGACGCCTTCACGGTCAGCTTGAACTCGGGCTTCCAGGAACATTCGACTATTCTTGCCGCGTTCATGGCCTGTACCTGCGATTGTAGAAATGCCCTCGCCTTCCCTGCCTGGGCAAATACCTTCTGCTCTTCTGGCTCCCTCTCGACTGGTGTAGAGGAAATTGTCGTTGAACTTGCGGCTCTCATCGCTGGCGAAGCCCTCTTTGAAGTAGAGGGAGATCTTGACCGCAGTCCTGGGGGCCCCTTCGGACCGAAGACTTCGATCTGACCGACTTTTGATTGTAGCGATTCCGGAAGAAGATTTAACAATTTACCGACGATTTCTTCCGCCTTCGACTGGCCGACCCATTTCGAGCGACGCTCATGAGATTCGCAAAAATTTTGGATCTCCAAGAATGTTGGCACAAATTGTTTGTTGGTCGACGTCCCGGGTTCATTTAACCTAGCCTCGATTGCCGCCAGGCGATCGTCATGGTTTGCGATCGTCTTCTCGACGCGCTCAACTTTCTGCAAGATTGGGCCCAATTTGGTGTCAAACAAGGTGCCCATCGCCTCCATGGTGACTGGCGTCGTCGCGCTAGGAGTCGTAATATGCGCGTACTGGCGCCCCAACAGTATACGGAGTAAGTGTGGCAGTGATGCCCCTTGAGCCAAAAAGGCTTGAGCCAAAATCTGTGCTCCCTCTCCTCTCTCTCTCTATCTCTCTCTCTCTCTTTCTTTCTCTCGTCTCCGCCACGTGTATGGCTGACATGACCTGTAGACCGCGCGTTTGGCCCAGGAAGGGAGGGAGGCTAGAGGCAGGGAGGAGGAGCAGGAAGAGGGTCCGCACCAAATGCATTAGTAGGAGGACGACGGGGAGGAGCACGAGGCGAGCGAGGAGGAGGAGGAGGACGACGACGACGAGGAGGAGGGTGAGGATCAAGAGGATGAGGAGGGGGTGGGGGGGAGGAGGGGGGAGGAATAGGAGGAGGAGCAGGAGGAAGAGGAGGGGGTGGGGTGGAGGAGGGAGGCCCATCGGCGCGCCCCGCGCGCGGAGGGAAGCCGCCGCGGACGCCGCGTGGCGCATCCCGCGCGTGCTCCACCAGACCTGGAAGACCAGCCGGGCGCCTCTCAGCCCCCGCCGCTGGGGGCCACAGGGCCAGGAGAGGGGGCAGCAAGGTCAGCTCGGAGGCGACGCTAGGGGGGGGGAGGGAAGAGGGGGATGATGAGGAGGAGGAGCAGGAGGAGGAGCAGGAGGAGGAGGAGGAGGAGGAGGGCGAGGGCGAAAGGGAGGGGGGCAGCAAGGTGAGCATGGTTAGCGCCAGGGAGAGGGGGAATAGGCTCAGGGGGGAACGCACCAGGGACGACGCTACCTACGAACCTATGACCCACGGCCTACGTTCTACGGGTTTACGATCTACGATCGCAGGGGGGATCGCATCTACGCTCTACGGTCTTGAACACCTACGACCTGCGTGCCTCAGGGGGCAACGCTCGGGGATAGGCTTAGCCAAAATCCGGTTTCGCCAGGGACTGGGTTCTCTTCAAGTCGGCCGACACCCTCTCAGAACCTCCCCGGAAGGGTTCCGATGGTTGCTTCGAAAGGGTTTGGGGAGGAATGTGGAAGGGCTTCTGTCGTTGTGGGGGAAGGCCAGTCTCTAGCGAACGCGGGACTAGCCAAGGAGAGGATCAGGGGGGACGCATCGACCCGCAGTCGCCCGTGCGCTGCCGATCGCATGCTGGGCCGCCCCGCCCAGGAACGTGCGGCTCCCTGGTTCTCGAGGGCATACGGTCGGGAACTTCGGGATAGCGTGGCGCGCCGCCGGTTCTGGCCCACCGCGCTTCGGAGCAACACGCTGTCCACTGCGCGGTCTCGGGCCAGCTGTGGCCCGAGTCTGTCCGAGCTTCCCACCCCACGGAGCGGAGCGGAGCGACATGCTATCCGATCGCAGGGAATAGCGTGTCTCTGGGGCCGCCTTGGCGATACGCTATCCCAAAGTTTCCGACCGCAGGGGGGGGGAATCGGCTCAGGGGGGAACGCATCGACCCGTGATCGCCCATTCGCCGCCGATGGGGGCATGGTGGCCCGCCCCGCCCAGGAATTCGCGGCTCGCCATCGAGGGCACATCGCCGATGTACCGCCGATTCCAGGTCGATGGTCCCATGGAGCCAGTCCGGGTCCCACCCCCCCCCCCTTCCCTTCTGTCTCCCCTCAAAGCCAGGCGGTGCCAAGGGTGGTGGGGGGAGCAGCAGCCGAGGGTCGAGAGGGGAGGGGAGGGGGGGGGACCGAGGGTCGAGAGAGGAGGGGACGGGGGGGACCGAGGGTCGAGAGGGGAGGGGACGGGGGGCACCGAGGATCGAGAGGGGAGGGGAGGGGGGGACCGAGGGTCGAGAGGGGAGGGGAGGGGGGGGACCGAACGTCGAGAGGGGGTTTGGGACCTTTTGGCCGCCCTGGGCGGCTTGGGGGATCCGCCTCGGCTTGGAGCCGTCTGGGGGTCGGCGGTGGCCCAGCGCTGGTCCTGGCCAGCAGGAAGGGCGGGCAGGTTCGAGGGGGCCGTTCTCTTGGCATCGCTCGGACGTGTGCATTTTTTCTCAGCAAGAACCATCGAGGACCATCCTGTACCATCTAGCAAAAAACGCGCACGACATCGAAACATGCACGGGACATGGACGTCCGAGCGACGGCAAGTTCTCGGGCCCCAGGGCCGTGAAAAAGGGATCTGGTGCAAAGGCTGCACCAGATGAGCCCTGGGAGGGGTCAGGCGACCGATTTTGAGCGGATTTGGCTTCATCCCCCCGTCCTGACCGACTGTCTCGGTACCCAGCCAGTTCAGATTTTTTTGTTGTCTTTAATCTTCGTCCTCCCACCAGGAGGAGGTGGCAGACCCCTTAGCGCTAACCCCCGATCCCCTTGTGGCCTTGCCCGGGCAAGTGGTAGCAGAGGGGCCCACACCCCTCGGCGATCCAACAGCATCACGCCAGAGGTCTCTCGCCATGCCAGAGGAGTCTCGCCATGCTCTGAGACCTTTTATGGAGCGGCTCTGGACGAAGCCAGTCCCAGAAAAGGGGTCGCGAGCTCTGAGTGCCAGCGGGTCGAAAGGATGGAGTCGTCTCAGGTCTGCGGCTGTAACAGGAGTTGGAGCAGGGGTGGCAGTGGGAGTATCACCAAGAGGAGAAGAAAGATGAGCAGGAGGAGGATTCCGAGAGGGAATGACCATGGACGGTATTGGTGTCCTGCCGATGTGCACGACGATAGGGTGGTATAGCGTACGCAGACAAACAACGATTCCACAACGGTGCGACTGGATTGCACGAGTAGTCGGAACCAGGGCAACAGACAGCATGGCTGATGGCAAAACACAATACGCGCAGTTGTTTTGCAATGTCGTTGCGCAGCGATGAAACGTTTTGCCATTGTCTCTGTGTTTTCCTTATCCTCTTGCTGCTCCTCCTCCTCCTCCTCCTCCTTCGCCTCCTCCTCTTCGTCCGTAGCAAGTTAGGCTCAAGCCATTTCGGCTCCATCAGGGGATTTGGCCGTCCACCCGCTGGAGTTTGGGAGCAGAACAGTATTGGAAGTGGCGTTGCTCTCCCGAGCCACAACATGAGCAATGGCACCTGGGGCTGCGGCGCGTGCGGCGCGAAGAGGTGCTACCGCAACCACGCGAGGTGCTGGAAGTGCTGGGCATGGAGGACGTGCGAGGGCGGCCGGCAGCGAAGCCGCCCCAGCCACATCCGCACGGACGAAGACCAGCAACCAGGGCCAGAGGCAGACGCCCGCGAGGAGGCGAACAAGAAGCTGGCAGCTTTGCGGAGCCGCGTGCGCCACCTGCGCGCGCAGGCCGCCGAGGAGGGCATGGAGTTCCTCGGCGAGGCAGCGGACCGAGTGCAGGAGGAGGTCCGTCGCCTGGAGTCCCAGACGGAGCAGAGTGCACCGCGGTACTTCACTCAGGCGCAAATGGGGAGGGAGCGCCGCAAGATGGAGATGGCCAGGGACCGCATCAAGAAGCGGATCGAGGCTCTCAACGCCAAGGCAGAGAACATCCAGAAGGAGCCGGCGGAGGAGAAGTCCAAGCTCGAGAAGAAGGAGACGCACATCCAACAGCTGGAGGCAAAGAGGTCGCAGCTGGAGCAACTCATTGTGCCCGCCGGCGCGGACGGCCAATGGGGCATTGCGGCGCACCACCTGGAGCAAGCGGAGGCGCCGCTGCAAGAGCACACGAAGGAGACCACCGACACGGACCTTAAGCATAAGTACATCAGGGCAGGGAGGCCCTTGCGATGGCCAAGAAGAGGCAGCAGGCAGTTGCAGAGGAGATGGAGAAGACCAAGGCCGAGGCCGAAGCCCAGCGCTCGCGCTCCCTGTCGCGCAAGCGCGGTGCTGAGTCGAGCTCCAGCCTGGCCGCCATCCCCGCCAGGGCATCGCCAGAGCAGGTCAAGCAGCTCCTCAGCAAGCACTGCACGGCCGAGCAGGCCGAGAGGCATGCGGCCGCTATGGCATCTGTGGTGGGCGATGTGCTGGATGGCTGCTCCCTGGAGCTGCGGGTGCCGTCATCCTGACGGCCAGCAGCCACGTCAGCAGCACATCATGACGGCCAACCCCAACACGGCCAAGTCCCTGGGGCGCGTGTTGGGGCTCGCGAGTACCAAGGCCGTGGTGCTTGGCCAGGAGCTGCCCATGGGCATGGCCGACTCGGGGGAGTGGTCGCAGCGCATGGCTCGAAAAGGGTGGAAGACTGCATTGTTGCCCAGCGTGCGCACTGCGGACGGAGGATGGAGCGCGGGCGCGGCCATCGCGGTGCCCAAGCACATCGCCATGAGCTTCGTGGGTGGGCACCTGCGGAACTCCTGAGACGCGTCGCCCCCCGAGAGCACTGGCCGCCTGGCGGTGGCGCGGGTGGGCATCGGCGAGAGCGGCGGCGTCGTCGTGGGCTCGTCCTACCCCTGGCACTCGGAGGGCCCCGCACCCGGGAACCTGGTGGTGCTGGCGGCCTTCGGCGCGCCGGCGACGCCACGGGCGTGCAGTGGGTTCTATGGGGGCAACCTCAACATGGGCCCAGAGCAGCTGTGCGAGAGCGGGGTGGCCGAGATATTGAAATCACCCGACCGAGCGAGGGCGCGTGCAAGGTACCACAGAGGAAGGCCAGCACCCGCGACTACTTCATCGCGTCGAGGAGGCTGGCGCGTACGGAGCACGCGACGGTGGAGAAGGAGCTGGCCATGCGCGCCAGATGCAGCCCGCACTTCCCCTTCTCGTGTTGGCTGGGCAAGAGCGCCCCAGCCGACCCCCATCGAGTGGCCCAACGGCCCCGACTTCGAGGGCAACGCCGAGCAGCAGGAGATCGACGCGCACTGGGAGAGCACCGCGAAGGCCCACGAGTCCAACCTGCACCGCTACTACGGCTTCGCGGACGGCGACCTGGCGCGGAGGCAGGGCCACTTCCAGACGGAGCAGTTCGATCTGGGAGGTCACGCTGGCGCCAGTGCGCAAGCCACCGAGAGGCGCCCCGACCAGGAGGGCCGCCGCGGCGGTGTGGGGGTGAGATACCGACTGCAGGAGCTGGCACGCTTGGCCACAGGCA